AATGGAAGAGGGCTTGTGTGCATTCATAAGCTTGTGGGTACAAGAAATGAAGTGTTTGCTCAAAAAAAGTAAGTTCCACCTTTGGCTGGGCTCTGGGCTGCTACAGGGGCTCATCCAAACAGACCCACCACATCACCTGAAGTCCAGCATCATCCCCCCAGAGACAATGTGCTCAAGGTTGACCTTTCAGCTCTGCCCCAGTGCAGCGGCTGGGTTCTCCTTTGAGTGGATCTACTTATTTTCATCCAGCTATGGGCACATGTACTTAGCCAACAGCCTCCAGGAGCAGCACTGTCAGGATCTGCTGCAACACTTAAACCCAAACTAAACCTTCCCTAGGCAGCCTCGACCACTGAGCACAGCGAGGCAGCAGGGGTACCTTCAGCATGGCCATTCCTTCATAAGGGGGCCCCTGTATGAGCAGTCTGTATTGGAGCTTCCCATTGGCCTGGGAAATCCTGCAGCAGTCAGGCATGGGGGCTCATGCCTATAATCCCAGCTACTCAGGAGGCTGAGGCAGGAGGATCACAAGTCCAAGGCCAGCCTTGGCAATTTAGTAAGACTGTTTCAAACTAAAAAATATAATGGGTTGAGAGTCCAGCTCAGTGATAGAGCTCCCTGGGTTCAATTCCCAGTACCAACAAATCTCTTGCAGATTTAATTTCATCTTTAGCATCTTTTTTGGCAGAACATAGGGTGCAACTTCAAGCAAGCTGTCTTTAGGGACAATTGCATTCAACTTCAGGTCACGTGGTGTGTGATTAGATGGGCTCCCAGTGGAGGTCAGAGCCAAGCCAAAAGGCCCACTTATTTTTTGAGCATTTTATTTCTTGCACCAATAGTTACTGAGTAGCTACAATGAGGCAAACCACGTGCTAGTTACAGATGATGTAGCAGAGAGCTTCTGCCCTCGATTTACCTGCAGTCTTACGTGGAAGAACTCATACTGAAACTAAGAATGCTGAAAAACACAGTGAGCATTTGTGATGCAGCATTGGGGATGCAGTGGGAAAGGGAAAGAGGCTTCCTTGAACAAGCTTTGTTGGTTGGCTGCTCGGACATAGAATAGGAAAAGCAGTCTTGGATTCTGGAGTCCTGGAGGAGAGTCACCCAGGCTCTGGTCTATCCCCTTGATATCCATGAGCATGGACATTAGGGAGGGAGCGTCATCACGATGGGCAGAGCAAGTAGAGGTAACAGGTGACACTCTCCCAGGGATGGGGATGCGGGAGAAGGATTGAGATTGATAGATTTAGGGAGCACATGGGCTCTCTGTCTACTCAGCTCTGCCTTCTTCATCATGGAGACATCGTATTTTCCTTCTTTCTGTCCCCTAATGCCGATGGTCAGGACTGGAATGTCAGGGATCACAGGCCCAATGGCTTCCCAGGGAAGGGCATGCCATTGTGCAACTGACCCCTCACCTGCTCTGGCAAGTAGGCTCAGAATTAGCCAGGCTGCGTCTGGACCACGGCTACTGGAGAGATTCTTGTCCATGTTTGTCCATTTTATTTGAACTGGGGATTGGACCTAGGGGGTACTTTATTACAGAGCTACATCTAAGTCCTTTTATTTATTTATCTATTTATTTTTAAGTTTTGAGACAGAGTCTTGCCAAGTTGCCCAGACTGGCCTCAAACTTGTGATCCTCCTGCCTCAGCCTCCAGAGTCACTAGAATCACAGAAGTGCACCACCATGCCCAACTGTATTTGATAGTCCTGCACCACTGCCCCTCTACCCCCTTTTTAAAAATCTCTTTATTTTTATTTATGTATCTTCATGTGGTGCTGAGAATCGAACCCAGTGCCTCACGCTTGTGAGGTAAGTGCTGTACCACTGTGCCACAACCCCAGCCCCCTCTCTCTTTGTCTCCTTTTTAAATCCCACTTAGACAAAGAATGTATGAGAGGGAAATCAGCTCAGGTGAGTGATATTAATATCACTTACTGTCATTATTCTTGACCTAAGAACCTCAGTAGGGTCAAGGGAGTGAGGGGGACCCCAGAAGTGACACCCCATGTGCCTCCCCACACATCTCCCCCCTCTTGGGTCTGGTTCTGGAACTTGAGCCCAAGGAAGCCATGGTCATCCTCACTCGCTGGCAGCTCCAGTGGGGTATGGACTAGAGGGCTAGGGGGACCCTGGGGTCATCTCAGTCTGAGTTTTGACCACTGGGACAGTAAGAAAACAGAACAGGACCTTGACGGACAGAAAGTAGGAATGGAGAGGTACTGGGAGGAAAAACAGACTGGAAGAAAGGATCAGACAGATCACAGATCAGGAAACAATGACCCTAGTAGATAAATGGGTGACTTGATTCATGTGGGACCCTTCACCAGGGATCCTAGGCTGAAGAAGGAAGAGGAAGAGGGCAGAGCATGGTCAAGGGGGGCCCTTAGACAGGAGCAGATGGGCAACTGGCCAGAGGGTAGAGGATGCTTCTCACTCATGGCCCCAGGTCTCCATCTGGTTCGGCTTCCAGATGAATTTGGATGCAATAACAGGAGMGAGACAGAGTTTCCAGGTGGCTCCCGCTGAGAGTGGCTGGTTTTCTAGCCGCCCCCACTGCAGCTGGCTCCGTCCCTCCTCATTTACACCTGGGAGTCAGACAGCAGGACCTTATGTGCATCAGCAGAGGGCGCTCTGTCCTAACAGACGATCTGGGCTTGCTGAGCAAGACGGCTGGAGGAGGAGGTCCCAGCCAGAGTAAGAAAGAGCCACATCAGCCCACCCTCTCCATCAGAGGCGGACCAGGTGCCTTGTTCAGAGCTGGGATTTCCTGCTTTTGGAAGAGCAATAGACTTGGGTTCTTGTCTGATGGCATGCTGTTTGTTTTTCACAAATATGTCCTGAGAGCTGTCTGTGGGTCACTACTCTTACGCTGAGGTACAAGAGATGGATGAAGAGGTGGCCTTTTTTTTGGTGATAAGAGAATGTCTGAAGCACAAAGCCTGGATTAGAATTTCAAGTCTTCTGGCCCCTGTGTGCTCCTGGGCAATKTACTGAACCTCTCTGGGTTACGTGGTCTTTATCTACAAGGAGGCAAAAATGACGTGAGCCCTGACTCAGAAAGATTCTGAGAGTTGGAGATAAATAATGGGCCRACTCATGAGCTTTGATCTCACGTAAGCTTTCATAAAAGGATTCTTGTTCTTCAGAAGCTCCGAGTCGGGTCTGTTAACAAACAGTGGTTGAGTGTCCTGCTCTAATTCAGGGGGGTTTGTCAGGGGTTGAGAAGGTGTGAAGACCCTACAGATACTGCAACCTAGAGGGTAAGACACGTCCCTACAGATACTGCAACCTAGAGGGTAAGACACGTGGACCTCATTAGAAAACGGAAAGCATTCTACATGTCCTAGGCAGCTGAGAGGTCACAGGAGATAGTTCTGGCTTTGTTCCTACAAACAAGGTAAACTTGGGTCTGTCTCTCTGCCCTTGGCTTCTTTATTTAGAGAGGAAAGGGAGCAGACTCCCTCGGAGGTCCTGGCTGGTGGTCACTGCAGGCTGGTCGCCATGACAATCATAGCATCCTCAGATCCGCCTGGCCATTCGAAAGGTCCATCGTGGGGAGGTTTCTGTGACCCAGAGGCCTCGTCTACGTCTTTCTTGTCCCCTCTCCACACACATCAGCAGCCCTGTGGTCTCTCATTCTCCTTTTGAAGTTATCTTTGTCTTCCTACCCACAAAGGAAAAGTGAACCCTTGTYCAACACGGTCTCTGAGAATCCTTCTGGCTTCGATATTGATCCCATGAAAAAAAATTCTTTCCCTCTGGACCARCTGGCAGGTCTGGAATCTTCTTGTTACTTCTCTGTCAAGATGTAATTATGACCTGCATGGGGTATCGTCTTTCCTGGTCATTTCATTTGATCGGATGCCAAGCAAAGAGGTCTTGTGGCCGCAGGAGCCCTTGAGAATGGCAGGTGATGGGAGAGGACAGTTTTATAATAGGGGACCCCTGTGTCCTGGCTGTCAGAGCCAGCGGAGGGTGACACGGGCAGTTYGTTTCTGAATCACCAGTGACCCGTTGGTGGCACACAGAAAGGCTTGAGGGGGCGATGACAGCTCCGGCTGCTGCTTGCAGAGCGTGTGGTTGGTTGGTCTGACCCTTGTCTGATGTTAAAACCGCACTGTTCTCTGAATCATCCTCAGGAAGCAGCATCAAGCTTTGCACAACATCTGACCCCCAAACTGAGATAGCAAGATGGGGTTGAGGGTACTGGCATAAAGAAAAAGCAGCTGATACTTCCCCTTCATGGAGGATCTGTGTGAACTTGGAAGGCTCAGTTCTCCCCAAGATTCCTCAGACACCTGACAGCTCAGTTGCTCTGGTTAAATTCAGGCTGTATAAGCCAATTTTGCTGGGATTTCTGGCTCTTTCTAGTTATGAAAAGGAGATCATGGTGCTGACTGTTTGCTGACCTGTACCAAAGCTGCATTGGCACTTGAATCAGATGCCTGGCTACTCTCAAGTCACCGTGTCTTCTGTGCGCCACGCTGGTGAAGCACGAGTGCACGTGCAATGACTTGGCCAGGGCTGGTGGACCCGCAGTACTGGCCCAAGCTTGGAAAAAGTGTGGAGGCTGGTTGTCATGACAATAATAGCATCCTCAGATCCCCCTGGCCATTCGAAAGGTCCGTTGTGGGGAGGTTTCTCCGACTCAGAAGCACCTCTGGGGGAAGTACAGATGCAACTCCTTCATCAGTGCATTTATTCTTCACTATGTCCACTGGTGGGATCTCCATAAATTCCCACCAAACTTCAGTGGCTCTCTGTCACCAACAAAGCAAAAAAAAAAAAAAAAAAAAAAAAAAAAAAAAAAAAAAACTCCTTCCCAAAGCATTCAGTGCCATTTACTGTGAAGTCCCCATTTTCCATGTCTCCTCCAGGCCTTTCCAATGTCTTTACACCAGAGGACTCACAGATCTCTGATCACAGCATCCTGTTTATCTGGCTTCCTCTCCCTCCAATGCAGACTGGTGACATCCTGCTCCGCATGCTATMCACTGAACTCCTGCTTATTCCGCACCTTCTGGGGAGGGTATAGACAGCAGTGGTTGCTAGGGGGGGGGGAAACAGACCTAAATGAACTGGGGGGGGGGGCGGACTTTGAACAGGTTACCTGTTTCTTACTTATAAAATGAAAAAAAAAAAAAACCCTTTATCTTACGTATGGGGTTGTTCTGAGGGTTAAATGTGATAAAGTTGGTAAAATTTCTCAGTTCACTTTGGTCACATAGTAAGCCACTAAAAGAAGTGTTCTTGGTAATTTTATGTATATTTGTCTCAGTTCATGCTGCCATAACAAACTACGATAAACGGGGTGACTTGTAAACCAAAAATATTTATTTCTCACAGTTCTGGAGGCTGGGAAGTCTGAGATCAAGGCCCTGGGAGATTTGAGGTCTGGTGAGGATGGCCTTTTGGTGAGCACAGTGGTTTTCTTGCTGGGTCCTCACATAGTAGAAGGGGCAAGGGTGTTTTCTAGGGTTTCTTTTCTTAAGGGCACTAATCCTGTGCACAAGGGCTCTACCACTCATTACCTAATCCCTTCCCCAACGCCCCACAGAATACTATCTCTTGGGAGTTAGAATTTCAACATAGGAATTAGGGGGCGGGAAACACCAGCATTCAGTCTATAATAAATCTCAATAAAATTTAGCATCTAGAACGATAGACTCTACTTCCATCCTAACACGGCAGTGATTCTTCAAAGAGGACTCTACATATRTGCGTCTTACAGCAGATTCTGAAATTCCCTCCAAGTGAAAGACTACGCCAGACTCACCTCTCTCTCACTCTGCCTTGTCGCCATGGATGTTGTACAACATGGTTCTCATAACAGCCGCTCCAAGGTGTTTGTATTCGACAAGTCAGCTCTGCACCTCTCGGAGAGACATTAACGCTATGTGGGCACTGAGAACATTACTGTTCCTTTGAGTTTCCTCATCACTTTGCAGAGTTATGAGGAAAAGAATCTCTTTCAGAGAATCCTTCTCTCTCTCTCCTCTCTCTGCACCAGGAGAGTGCAGGTCAATTCAGGGCAATTCCAAAAGAACTGGTCATGATGGTCAACCTGAGACAAAAGAATAGCCTAACCTAACGTGGGCTTCCTAAAAACTGAGAATCAGGCAATTTTTCCTCTACTCAGTACTTTTTTGCTTACTTTTAGCTCTCAGTGTTTAAAAAAGGAGGCGGGGGAGGGAGGCGTGTTTGAGGTCGATTTTTCTTGCCTTTCCTCCCTGAAGCCCACGATGTGATAGAGTGTAAGTTCTCAGCCTCGGAGATCCCAAGGTGATCAAGGGGTGCGGAATAGACATCTGGTCACCTGGAAGACAGAGTTTCAAATCGTTCCCACCCCAAACACATCTAAGTGTGCTGTGGCATGCAGAGTGGAAATGGTCATGTTCATGTGTTAGTTCAGGGTGAGAGGTCTGGTCTCAGTGACCAGAGACTGTGTCCTGTGAGCCCACGGCACTCAGCAGCCCACTCGGGCAGCCTAGGTGGGCAGTTTGCACGGGGCTCAGAGTTAAGGGACTCTGGACACCAGGGACTACTGATGGGCTTTCTGCTCTACTAAAAGAGAAGTTCAGGCTCCGGACTGATGGGAACACTTCTGCGAGTGGTGATGGTAAGTTCAGGCTCCGGACTGATGGGAACACTTCTGCGAGTGGTGATGGTGTAGGAAAGTGGGTAGACATGGGATGAAAGAAAATCGTAAGCTTCTAAAATAGGGAAGTGATGATAGATGCTGTCGTTGGCAGCAAAGGGAAGGGAAGTGGGAGAACGCCGGAGTCTCTGATAGGGAGAAGGGGAACTAGGTTTGTGGAAGAAGAGGTTTTTGGTTTGAGATGGGTTGAGCTGAAGTAACTTCAGAATGCCCAGATAGAAACTTCTAGTAGCAGAAAAGTCTTTTAAACCTGAAGCTCAGGATGGGGCATGGTGACTGGAGTTAACAATATGGAATCATGTACTTGAAATTGGCCAAGTAGGTGGATCTTAAATGTCCTAATTATAAAGAAGAAGGTGAGGAGGAAAAGGAGGAGGAAGACTATGGAAAAAACTAAAATGGTAGCCATGGGAGGCGAYGTATGTGTTCACTAGTTTGATTGTGGTGGCCATCTCACAAAGTATATGTACATCAGAGCATCAGGTAGGTACTTTAAATACAGACAAGTTTTATTTGTTAATTTTAACTTAATAAAGTTTTTTTTTTTTTTTTTTTAAACTGGAGTCCAGGAGAAAAAAGGTACAGGTTTTTTAATCACTCGGTGAGAAGCCATAGTTAAAGCTGGGGTAGTGGTGGGATCCTGGAGAGCAGGAAGGTTGGAGGGGAGAATAAGACCCTGAGGAAAATCAATGCAAAGAAGACCAAGAAGAAGCCAACATGGCGGCCCAGCTAAAGTGAGCCCYGAGAGTGTCCAGGGAACCAGGGAGAAAGGTCACCAGGAAGATGAGGAGGCAGGCCAAGTCTATCCCTGCAAAGAYGGAAGGAGTGGGGCCGTGTCAGACTGCTGTAGTTAGGCGTGAAGTGGCCACGAGTAGACTTTAAATCGGCCAAAGAAGAGGTAATACAAGAGACCAGTAATGGGCTGAGTTTCATAATCCAAAAATTCCTGTGCTGAAATCTTAACTCACAGTACCAGACCTTGGAATGTGAGTGCACTTGGAGATTAGGTCTTTAAAGAGGTGATCAAGTTAAAAGGAGGCTCTCAGAGTGGGCTCTAATCCAATCCTACCCGTGTGCTGATGAGAAGGGATGAAGGCAGGACACACACACACAAAGGAAACACCACGTGAAGACACAGGAGAAGACAAATGAAGGAGAGAGACCCCCAAACAAATCCGTTGTGCTAATACCTCAATCTTGGACTTTCAGCCTCTGGATTATGAGAAAATAAATGGGCATTGTTTTAACCACCAATCTGTGGCACTTTGTTATGGCAGCTCTATAATATCAAATAGATATCATTCCTTCTCCAAGATCCAAAGAAAATAAACAGCAGAGAGACTGGTCATAATGAACAAGGCTACGTTCCATCATGGGACACTGAGTGTGTGGGGTCCTGTAAGACCTAAAGTCATGGTTTTCACTTTAGCTGAATATTAGAACCACGTGGGGATTAATCCAAAGTAAAAAAATCTTGATCCCTTAGCATCACCTCAGACCCCCAGGGGATTTTTACGTGGGACCCTAGAATCAGCACTCTTTTATAACTTCTCAGATGGTTCCAGTGTGTGGCAAAGTTGAGACCCAATGATCTAAAAAGCAAATCATCCACCGAAGGCCGGGGGATACAGACYGGGGGTCTGAATGTTCCCAGCCAGATTGTGAAACCCACATGGAAGGGCGTCTATGGGACACAGGCATATTGCAAGGGCTCTTTGTTTGACTCGAGGACGGCATATAGGAGACCCAGGGCTTCAGCAGCACCCGTGAGTGGGAAAGGACGTGCTTCTTCTATTGTGTACCGACTGTGACAAAGTCCTCAGGAGGGAAGGATGACAGGTGTGGGTTGAGTGATAAAGGTATTATTCAGTTCTTGTTAGATTCTGGGAGAGTAAGTGATTCATGGAGAGAGGAAAGCTAGGTGTGTCGGTGTAGGCCTGTAATCCCAGCTGCTCAGGAGGCTGAGGCAGGAGGATTGTCAGTTCTGAGGCCAGTCTGGGAAACTTAGTGAGACCCTGTCCCAAAATAAACTAACAAAGACTGGGGATGTRGCTCAGGGGTAGAGTGCTTGCCTAGCATGTGTTAGGTTTCTGGGTTTCATCCCTGGCACTGAAAAAAAAGAAAGGAAGGGAGGAARGAAGGAAGGAGGAAGGGAATGAGATTTGTGCTTCTTAAGGGAATTTTATGTCATCACACCCAAGTCCAACTTGAATTCAACAAAATAACATTATGGGAATGTGGAGAGCAACGACAGAGAAGGAAGAGCAGTGTCTGAGACCGGGGTCTCTGATGACCTTATGGCTGTGGCGAGCCTGGTGCCTGGGAATGTTCCCCGTGCAAGGGCCCAGGATGCTTAGCCCTGCAGGAGGAAGCTCTATGCAAGAGTCTTATCAGTCTTGATCTTGATCTGGGGCACGAAGTTCCTGAGAATAGAGGAACTCTCCTGCTAGACAACCACAATGTTTCACCAGCTCTCTTACTTCTGCTGTTGCCTGCTTAACGGTAACTTTAAACCATGAACTTGCCGCAGCTTTAAAGAAAGCTCCTAACATTGCACATTGCCACTGTGGAAAAGCAACAGATGTTTCTAGTTCTGTAACTTCCCTGAATACAAAGATATAAATAAGAATTGCTAGAGTAACTCTTCAGATTTGCTTCTACATCAGAGAGCAGCACTCCACCTGATCCCAGCTATTTATCTTCAAAATCTGCACCTGTGAGTCTTTGTTTTCTAACCCCCTGTCGCCCCTCGCTGGAACCCCCAAGATTGGTTGTGCTAGTCACACACCGGAATTAACATGCTCATGTTATATAGAGGAAATGGAGGGATTCTACAAAATGAGTTGATTTTCCTAAAGGTGTATATCTGGTAGAGTTGGAGATGAACCCAAGTCTAGCTAACAAAATTTATAATGTTTTGATATCATGTTTCCAGTTTAGGGGATAGAGTAGGAGCAAGGATGAGAAATGTGCTAAAYAGATATTGGGTCAACTTTCTAGATTGGAACTTTGTTTCCCAGAGCTCCCTGCCCTGCATAGTCCCAGGTTAACATGGACCCCGAGAGACATCTTGCACAATATCTGGAAGGTGGAGATGATGTAGCAGCTACTTTCTTGTTTTACTTCGAGGGTCATTGACACCCGAGATCCTGTAGCAGCTCATTCTCATATTAGCTAGCTCTCTTTGCTGCTGTGGGGYAGTGGTAGGAAGCAATTCCAGCTCCCACACTCTACTCCCCGCCTTCTTTCTCCTGGCCTTCTTCATGTTTAGCTTAGTGATGGAGGGTGTCACCTTCTGCAGGACACGCTCATCGTGGCTTGTGGGCTGGAGGTGACAGATGTGGGCTCCAGCTCATGTTCAGRGGTCCATGTATCTTCTCTTCCTTCAGT